AAAGTGATAACGGCCCTGCTGCATGACATCCGGTGCAATGAGATTCTTATTCAACTAAGAGTCTTAGGTAACCTATTTCTATTTTCATTATTTCATACCAGGTAAATAGACACGAATAAATATTCAATTGTATGTGTATGTTTCTACTAGTAATACTTTTCATTTCTCATGATAGGTCTCTTTGGGAAACTTGTAACTGGACCCTGGACGACTCAATTTTACAGGAACTCTGAAGGTTTGAGGCATTTGGAGATCGTAGGAATTTTTTTTTTTTTTTTTTTTTTTTTTTTTTTTTTATACTTCAGATCTATTTTATGGTGATTTTTGTTAAATATGCCAAATCATTATGGCATTGTCAATATTTTTAGCCGTTTCCATTGTTTTTTAATCAATGAAGATTCCACACATGAGGACGTGCATTGCCAACCTGGAGAAGATCAACAGACAAACGGATTTGGTATTGACGATGTAGGAAGATGCTTTTACTCAACCACTCGATGAGGATGAAGTGTTGCTGGAGCTCCGGAGCCACGAACCGTGTCCACGATTTTTTGAGGCAGTTGCTGCTCTGTCTATAGGATATGTATCAGTCCTAAACAGGCAGCTTGAGGCATATCTTGTTGGGGAACTGGCTAATCCATCAGCAGAATTAATGAACCTGACCTCATCAGCCCCTGTTCATAATATCCATAGTGAGAGGGTTTTGGAGATGATTGATGCCCAATTTAAAAGAGCCCCTAATGATTCCACTGGTTTTGTTGATGCCAAGGTTAAAGTAGGTATTCTAAATGAGCTGGCGAAATTTACGCTGCGGGGATAAAAATTTTTTTTTTTTTGGTTGGGTCGCGCCATCTCGTTGCGATAATGTATCGTTATACGTGTGCGTTCAGTAACAACTGATCTAGAAAGTAGAAAAGTAGTTCTTTAATATTATGTATTTTTTGGAGCTGTAAACTGTAAATTAATGCTAAATAACGTTGATTTTAACACAAAAATAACACAAAAATTGCGTTTTCTATGTGAAAAAATCACTTTACGGCCCTCAAAAATATATATTTAGAAAGGTCATCCAATTTACTATAAAATTGTTATAATTCCACGAACGCCCCTTATACGATATCAGTGCGCAAACGCTTGGAACCAAGTCAACGCCGTCTGCTAAAAAAAGGTCCAAGTCGACCCCGCCACGGCAAACTCCGATCGGTCAAAGCAGAATGCGATGACAAATTTTATCTACGATCTTCTTAAATTTAGTGCCTTTTCATGGATTTTAAACTGAAATAGGTAAGTTAAAACATTATTGTTTCGTTTGGGAATGTTTAAATTATATAGAAAGCTTATTATTTCATATATTTGTTAATTTAGTGTGGGCTTATCGATAACTAATGCGTGTTTCTTACGCCTAGTGAAAAATGAAGATCAAGCTTTATTTGAAAATCATCTGTATTTATTTTACGATAGCGGAGAAAAAAAAGGAAACTATAATTAGTTCAATGAAATGTTTAAATATTTAATGATGTTTATTTTGTAGCTATGCAATTTGTTTGGAAACTGCAGTAAATCATTGAACTCGGATAATATAGTCGATTCGAGCGAAGCATTCATGTTGGGTCGAAGCATTATTGTCGCGAGGGTGAACGGGATGCTTTAATTTTAGTGGAGTTCATTTTTAAACTAGAAATTCGATAACTAATCCATTTTATCAATTAAGTTATATGGTATGATCCATTAGAAAGTGTTGCAACGTTAATTATTATTCTTTTTCTAAGTTATAAAGCTAGTTTTAAAAATTAGTTACCGGTACCTAGTGTTTCACCCCCTTTCGTAAATGTCCGATTCCAAAATTAACCTTACTCAAAACTTTGCTTTGCTTTACTATTGTTATAAATGATATACGGTGTATCATAGTGTATGCATATTTATTTGGAAAATAGGAGGCAGATAAAATCTTGTAAACTTTTGTGTTTTAATTTTATCATTTCATATTTCAGTGGATGAAACTGAAAACATCTTAAGACCTTGAGACAGATACCATTACAAAAGAACGAGATGACTCGGACCACTTCCAAAACAGAATGTCAGTATTGTCATCAGTCATCAGTACAGGTTAGTAGTACCGCTTGTAATACTTGTAATATTAGTTTTATGTGCATTTTGTTATTATACTGATAGTAATGACATGATCATAAATGCTAAGTTGATGGCTATTACTTACAATAATATTATAAATACAATTTAATTAATGCAAATTAAATAAAATATTCTCTTCACAGGTTGTTGGTGTACGGAAATTAGTCATTAAACCAGTGTAGGGAAGTGTCTCAAGACCCACACAGACATGCAAATAAAGGCAGCAAATTGACTTTCAATACTAATTCATAGTTAATAATTTTTCCCACAAATTTTCAATAACTTTTAAAAATACATATATAATATTAACGTTTTTTCAGGTGCTGGAAATTATAAATTTTCAGTGCAAAAATACTATACAAAAATAATATTTCTTGAGCAGAATTTTGTTTCCTAAACTTCAGCCTGTTGCTTTATTATTAAAAAGATTAACATTTTCTACAATACTGTGTAAAATTTGTTAAGATATCTTGCCTCGTTAATTTTTTATGAATTTTTAAAAATCGATGAAATTCTTAGCTTTTGTGTACATGCCTTGCTGAAATAATTTATGTAAATTCTTTTTTTTGTTTCACCATATGCCTGATGATTTCACACTGTTGTGCTTTAAATTACCTTTCACTTGACTCCTGCATATTTACAATAGCTTGATTAATTGATTTTTTATGATTTTTTGAAAATGAACTAAAATTGACTTTTTGTCTCCCTTTTAATATTTTGTAAAATTGGGCTTCGGCTCAATTTTGAATGAATAAAAATTGTATTTATATTTTCGTGACAACCCTGAAAAAAATTGAGTTTGTTATATGTATAACTGGTTGTATGTGCAAGAGATTTGAAAGTTCTAACTTCGTTATTTTAGAAGATAGTGGGTGTCAAAACTACACTTTCCTGGCGTCTAAAAATTGACCCTGTTCTTGATTTTTAAAAAATGAATAACTTTTTTAATTTTGGGGATAGAGAGTTAAATTTTGTGGTTCTGTTCTCATGAAGCCAAGCTCTATTTAGGGGAATAGTTCAATTTTATTTAATTTCATTATGAAATTTTCATTTAGAATACCTAGTTAAAGCTCTGGTCAACAAAACCATGGATTGGTTAGCGGGTAAACCAATTTTGGAACAAGAGAGGCTCGTTAATTTTGCTATTGGTGAAGCCAGGAAATCTAGGAAGGTGTTACAGGGTCGGGATAAGGATATGAAGGGTGTTAAGATAGCTCGTCAGATAGCGGTGGGTCAGAAGAGGGACCAGGGAGAGAGGAATAAGTTGGAGAAGAAAGTTAGACCTTTGTTAGAATCTGAGCGAGGGTTTAGTGACGAGTTACTTCATGGTATATGTCAGAATGTTAAAGTTAAGCTGACCATGCTACTCTCTGGTAGAATGGACTGCCTTCCTATGAGAATTAGGCACATTTGGGATGTTGATGGGGAAGAGAAAGAGTTTATTGGAGATTTAGTTGGTTATGTTAAGAAATCTGGAAAATTGTTTTGGAAGTTGGTATTTTCTGACATAGATCATGAAGAGATAACATTGTCAATTTTAGTTTCTGATGTTATTTTGGGAGATTTCCATTTTGTTTAATTGGGTTTTGATGAGATTTATTTGAATTTTCAGTTTGCTCATTGTAAATTTTAATATTTTGTATATTTTCAGGTGGACTCACATTCATTTAGTTTCTGATGTTTTTATGGGAGATTTTCTATTTGTTAAATTGTGTTTTTATAAAATTTATTTGAATTTTCAGTAGGCTCATTGTAAAATTAATTTTTTTAATATTTTGTATACTTTCAGGTGGAATCACGTTCAGTTTCTGAAGTTCTTATGGGAGACTTTCATTTCGTTTAATTTTGTTTTGATTAAATTTATTTACTCATTGTAGAATTTAATTTTTAATATTTTGTATACTTTCAGGTGGACAAGGATGCAATCTTTGCTGTGGACCGTGGATTGCTACATTGCATTGGCATTCAATGTTTTTTTGTTTTGTATTTAAATTCACTGGTGCAATAATGATGATGAAGATTCATTTTTATTTTATATGAAATGTTCTGAATTATTGTTTTTGTATTTAAATACTTTATTAAATTTAGATTGTCACTATCTAATTGTACTGAAGATTTTTATTCAATTAGCATTGTAAGTTAAAAAGTTCTTCTTAAAAATGTACATCAAAATGTCAATAGATTACGTGATATTTTAAAATTTTGTATAGCATGATTTTATTTGCATTTGCAATATTTGAATGTTTTGTTACATTTGGATTGTCACAAACTATTTTTACTGAAAGTTTGATTGCAGTAGCTTCATTAGTTTAAAAGTTATGTTTTTGAATGTAAACATTTCTCTGCAGCGGTTGCTTTTATTTTTATGAAATTGTTTTTCTAAAATTGCAAAAAGATTTTCTGATCTGTATTTCATTTATTTTAAATGTGCCTTATTTTTAGATGGACATTATCTGTTTGTATTGAAAATTTTATAGCAATAGCTTTATTGGTTTAGTAATTATGTCATTTTTTGTAAAATTAAATTTTTCGACAATTGTCGTTATCCACGCCATGTGCTAATAAAATCATTTTTTTCAAATATAATAAGTTAATTCACAATTCATGTCTTTTGTTTAGTTAAACATTGTATTGTAAACGTCTCCTCCAAATTTGAGAGCTCTAACTCTAACTTTTATACCCAAAAAAATACAAGCAATTAAATACAAAGCCGAATAGTGGGGAAAAATAAATCACAACTTTTCTCCCATAAGTGATAGAAAGATTATCTTGGTGTCATTGGAAAGCTTAGAGCCAGCTATTTCCAATGGTATGCTCTTTGTGACTTTGTGTATGTCAGATGTATTTGAAAATTTGAGTTGGAGTACCTATCGTGGGTCACGATAACCAAGATGGCGGCCGCGGGCTGGTCTCTCAGAATTGTTTTTTATTCAAAAGAACATTTGTTTTATGGGAAGTGTTAAAAATAATTATTTTTGCGGTGAATTAAAATGAAGTATCCACTTCTGATACCGGGTCCGAATAGCCGCAGCCAAACTTTTCATTACAATTACAGATAAGACAGTAGCCGATTCGCCGCCAAAAAAAAAAGGCAACTTTGACTTTGACCTTGATTGATGTCAAGTTAATGATTATAGAACTATATTTAAAATAGAATTTATAAACTACAATAAAATTATACACATAAACGTATTCTTACTTGCTTTTAGCTGTACGTCGTGTTTCTTTAACGCTACTTTATGGTCTTCAAAATGTGTCACATTTCTCGATTGATAATAATGGCTCTACTCTTACTCTAAGAGGGGAAACCAACAGAAAGTATCCGTCATAACCGTCACGTGACCAACCGAATATATAATAAAGACCTCACGTGACCAGCTGGGTCCGAATAGCCATTTGCTGCTATAGGTACCCGGTCTTGCTGATTGCTGTCAAGATGGCCCTGCCATAGTACATCATTAAAAACTTCGTCTGTAAGATAGGCTTATTATATTGTGGGCATAATGTGTTATTTAACTATTTCAAATATTAAAATGTATATAATTATTTACATTTAATTTGCATTTGTCACCAGACTAATATTGTAATAATAATAAGTTAGCAAGAAAACAAGAAAACGAAACAACCTGTGTGCTAAATTTGATAGAGAACATTTCTTTTAATCAATAAAAGATATAATGTCAGATTTGACATAAAACAATAAATTTCACACAGGATAATAAATATTTTCGTATTACATTTTAAAATTATTAAAAAGGGGAACAAATTAACAAGTTTTCAAAAAAATATTTGTTTTGTTTCCGAAATAATTTTTAAAGACGCCATTTGTAAACTATTCGTTTCATGCATTGTCACCCTTGTGTGTAATAGTAATAGAGTCAGTAAGTTTTCGTTTTTAGGCATTTACTATTAACTTATTATACTGTAGGCCTGAAATAAAATTGTAAGCATGCATAATTTCATAACTATGTTTTGTTATTTATTTTACAAATTTTTTTGTTAGGCTAGGCCTGTTCATTATTTAGTATTTAATTTAGTTGTCTTGTAGTTGTATTGTATTGGTAGTAGTAGTAATAGTATATAGACTAGTTACTTAGTTAACTTAGACTTAGTACCTTGTTAGCAGTGGGATTCCTTTTATTATTAATATTATTCATTCATGATAATTTTTAAAATAAAATAATGTATGTATTAGTATTACAATTTATTATTATATTTATAATAAAATATTAAACAATATTAGTTTTATTTAATTTATATATTATTAATATATAATATTATATTAAAATTAGGTCTACCCAATCAATATTTGCCAATAATGAATAATAAATTGATAATTATTAATAACTAATAATGACAAACTACATTTAAACAATGATAATACATAATACAATGACTATTCTGAACTATTTATTTTAGTAAATCACTTTTTCTTTTTATATTATTTGAATATGAATAAAATTTGTGACAATCACTATCAAATGAGTTTCAATACTATCAGTATTATTTATTCATTATCATGACAATAATGTCCATGTCTTGAAAATTCAATATTCAATTGCCAACTATAATATTGATTGACTGGTAGCTGGGTGGCCGAGCGGTCTAAACTGTCTCAAACGAAATAGCTGGTGGTCTGGAGTTCAATCCCCACCAAAGCCATCCCAAGCAACCCGGGTGGATGGGACTCGTTAGCCTTGGACGGCAACCTGTCTAAGAGAAGGCAAACTCTGAATTTAAAACCAGGAGCCAGAATGATCAACAAATTGATCGTGGGCACCTCAAATATAAGAAGAAGAAGAAGACTTGAAAACGGCCTAGTACTAGGAGCGCTACATACTGATACTGACATACTAGATTCTAGATTAATATTATTATTATGAAATTAGGCTACTATATGTTAGTGTAATGTACTATAGTATTGTAGTGTGTATACATTCACCTAGCCCTAGATATTTAAGTGTCAAAATTGTAAGTATAAGACATATGACATGACGAAATTGTCATCATAGCTCACAATAGACATAGTTTATTTATAGTATAGTTGTTTGTAGTATTATAGATTTTTTTTATAACTTTGCAAACCAAAAAAGTGATAAAAATAATTAATTCGATTATCAATCATAATCACCTGGGAGATGAGATGTTTAAGGCCAGCATCTGGTAAAACAAGTGACCAAATTCAGACTCAGGAAATAAGACAACAGTTTTGGGGCCATACCAATCAGCCCAACAGCAAATTAATTGGTATGTCCATGGTTCAATTTGTCAGAATGCTAGTCAGTCAGCCTGCTTTGCAAGCCTACAAGTACAATAGCAGGCCCTCCGGTTTTAGAGCAAGAGGGCGATAGCACTTGAGGTGGATTGATTGTTAAGGACACCCTTTATTTAAGTCAACAACCTGAACTTTCAGTCAAAAAGTAATATTTATATTGCTTTTTATTCCTTAGCCTTCATTGAAGACAATAAAGATGTTTTTGACAAGGTCAGAATATGATAGAGGAGTTAACACATTTTCTCCTGAAGGACGTCTTTTCCAAGTAGAATATGCTATTGAAGCTATTAAAGTATGTACAAGCTTTCTTTTTAGATCAAATTTTTATTCACATGCATTCATTAAAAAAAATGATCAAATTTTTATTCACATGCATTCATTAAAAAAATGATAATAAAATGGATGCATGACATCCTTATAATTTTATCATTGTTTCTAACGGTTAATTTATAAGTTTAAAAAAAAATTATTCATCTTGATTTTTTACCAGCTTTGTATATTTGTTTCTTAATTTGCAGCTTGGCTCTACTGCGATTGGCATTCAAACAAGTGAAGGTGTTGTCCTTGCAGTAGAAAAGCGTGTTACCTCTCCTCTTATTGAAGCAGCAAGCATTGAAAAGATAATGGAAGTAGACAAACATATTGGTAAGAAAATTAAATTGTGATGAATTTTCAAACAATCAAATTCCTTTTGTTTAGCAATAAGTGGTAATTACTTTAATCATAAATAGGGTATCTTTAAATAAATTCTCAATAATGCTGAATATTTATGTGTTTATCCACTTTCATGTTGTAGAATAAGTCTTTAGTAATGGTGTTTAACAATAATTGGTTTTGAAGCAGATAAGAAGTTCTTGATTTTTACGATGGGATAACCTAATCAATTTTTCCCTAACCAAAAATGTAAAAGATTGACATTAATTATAACATGAAAAAGAATTTAAGATTAAATTAATAACTTGTCTCCTATTAAATTTGTAAATATGGAGTTACTGACAACCACTTTCAACGAAAGATTTTTATACAGTAATCGTTATCCATCAGAAAATGAAGGTAGAAGTTGAACTATTTTTAGAAATGTCAAAAAAAGCAAGTAACAAAAATATATCACTAGTTTGTCACAGAAATTCAACCTGCAGAAAGTGCATGTTTGTACCACCTGGTGAGCAAGTTTGGTAGTACTTACTTTGAAGGCCAATAAAGCTGATAATAGGTTTCAAGTTATATTTTTGAAACTACTATTCATTCCGTCTCAAAATGTTTTTTTAAAAATTTATTTTCCTCCCCTTAACAACTCCTTAATTTTGTTTTTGCTTTGAACCATGATTATTCAATCTGCTTTCACAGCATGTGCAATGAGTGGTCTTATTGCTGATTCCAAAACTTTGATTGATAAGGCTAGAGTTGAAGCACAGGTAAGTGCTTATAAAAAAAAGTCAACAACTTACCAGTGCATGATCAACCCCTTGCAAACCTGTTTATTAACAACGTTAAAGCAGAGTATCCATTTATTACATGAATTTAATAAGACTGCTTTTGCCATGTATTTCCAGAATCATTGGTTCACATACAATGAGAAAATGAACATTGAGAGTGTCACACAAGCTGTCTCTAACTTAGCACTACAGTTTGGAGATGATGATCCAGACCCAGGGGCTATGGTAGGAATGCTTTATTAATCAACTCTAAGACAAGCAATTATTGATATTTCACACATGATTATGATGAAGATGACTAATAATATCTTTTGTTTCAAAAGTGTCTTTTGTTTTTCCTTTTACAAAGCTGTACTATTTACTTGAATATATGAATATAAAATACATTATTTTTTTACCATGGGGATGAGTGAGGATGAGAATATTAAGAAGTGACTTGTACTTTAATCAGTCTTACTGACCATTTGGTGTTATTTCTGGGGTGCCACATCATTGAATAAACTTAACAAAATAACTTGTTATTTCAGAGCCGTCCATTTGGTGTCGCACTACTTTTTGCTGGGGTGGATGAGAAAGGACCAAGACTGTAAGTATTATTAGGTTATATTATTAGGTTATATAATAATATCTTGAAATTGGGCTTTAAAAACTTTCCATACAAAAAACAATGCATTTTTTTTTCTTAACCTTTATAAAAAAATTTTGTAACTTTCATCTCAATATTTATAATATTATTCCTCAACTTATGGTTGTTGTTTAATTAATGCATAAGAGTGATCAGCAAGTGATAAGAAACTTAAAATAAATTTATGTGAAGTGTAATATAGTAACATTTCCAAATGAATCATTAGACTGCATTCTGATAGATAAATGTATGTTCAGTTTTCACATGGATCCATCTGGCACATTTATACAATATGACGGTAAAGCTATTGGGTCAGGGTCAGAAGGAGCACAGCAAGCTTTACAAGAGGTTTATCACAAGGTAAGAGTAATATGTTGCTTTCCATGCAAGATTATCCCTTTTATCTTGATGCACAGATTTTATTTTTCATCTTGATGCACAATTACCCGAAATATCTTTATTTATTATTATCCCATTAATGTTGTATCTATTTTCATAAGAAATAACTGTCACTCTAAGGTTTAGTGACAAAGACAATACTGTTTCAAAAATTTAAATGATCAACAAAATCTATCAGTACAGGTACTTAAAAAATCATAATGTTTTATATTTATTTCCATTTTTAAGATCTACACTAGTACACAAGAATGTATTGTAGTTTTTAAATATGTACAAGATATGACAGTTTTATACAGGAAAACTTACCAGTATTTTAGATTTAAATTTACTAATTAATTGATGATTGGCTTTAACCAATTATTACTTAAAGAAATCACCCAAGCATTCACTGAAAATGATATCCAAATATTTGTTTGTGCACAAATATACCTCTTTTTTTTCAAATATTAAATTTAAATTCATTTTTAGTACAAGTTTTGGCTAACTCAGCTAACTGATAAGATAGTTTGAACCCATTCCTGTCTAAGTCTAAAGTTCGTTCTAGCATAAATTGTGATGTTGAATCTCAAATCAGACCATGTGAAGGGTTATAACTCCATTTGGAAACAAAACAACTAAATGAAAATCAAAATTATCTTTCTTTTTTTATACCAGGTATAATAGTCATAGAAATTAAAAATGATTTTAAAAAGTTTTTATATAGTAAACAAATTACCATACAGTGTATCTAAAGTTCAACATGGGTACATTGTCACAAGTTCACTGCCATCACCAAGGTGGGCAATAGATTCTACTTTCAGTAGTTTCGTCTTTTAAGACTGCCAATAAACACAAGAGCTTTGAAATACAAGCTAAGATTTCAACCCCGGTTGTAATTTCATTGTTAGGATTTCATCATAGAGATTAGCAACACTCCGAAGAGAACTGCAGTTCACTTAAGCAGTTGTAATACCTGTAAATCAGTTTGTTAGAAGCTCCAAGTCAGCACAGTATTGTTTAAGTTAGTGAGGTTGACGGTCCGACCTGGGGAAATTCGAACAGAATGAACAGTAGTTGGTTGTCACTGTAACTTTGAACTTTGGTAACTTAATTTTTAATAAATTTACTCTGGTTATCTCTAAAATTAACTCAAATTTTTTTGAATTTATGATATCAAAAGTCCATGACACTGAAGGAAGCCTGCAAAGCAGCTCTAACAATCCTGAAGCAAGTCATGGAGGAAAAGTTGAACTCCACGAATGTTGAGGTCAGAAAAGTTTTTTATGAGTAAATTCAGTATTTAATTTATTAACCATGCAGTAAATTCTTGAGGGAGTTTTGAAAGTTAAAAAATAAATCGAAGCTTTAAAGTTTTAGGTGCAGAATTAATTATTTGATCCACCTAATACTTGTTTTTTTCTATCCATCCCTGTGGTGTTACAGCCCATGTAGGACTTTGGCCTGCCTCACCACTTCCTTCCACTCAGACCTAACTAATGCTTTTCTTTTCCATGCTTGGAATCCCAGCTGTTATAGTTCTTTTTCCACGTTATCCAATTTAAGCCTAGTTCTGCATTTGAGCTGTTTTCCTCTGTGGTTTTGGTGATGTACCCTCTTCACTCCTCTGTCATTTGGCATTCTTTCTAAGTGTTCTGCCCAGGGTAGTCTACCATTTGTTATTTCTGCTACTAGCGTGGGATCCTGATACACTATACAATTCCTCGTTGGTTCGTATTTTCCATCCATATTCATCCTTTGTTGGGCCTTATATTTTCCGGATAACTTTTCTCTCCCATGTGTTTAATAGATTTTCTGCCATTTTTTTTAGTGTATCAGTTTGCTCATGTTACAACTGGTCTGAAGACAGTTTTATCAATAGTTTTCTTTGTTTTTCTTGTAATCTTTTTACTTTTGATTACTTTCTGACTACTGAAGTGTGACCTATTTCGGGAGGATATTCTTTCTTTTATTTCTGTTAGTAATTTGTTTCTTTCATTTCATAAATATAAAATAATACTTATTTAATTTACATAATTAACATTTTATCTGTTTAATTGTTTGATATGCATTCTAAGTTCCCTTTCTTCTTGTCCCCCAGATGTGCACAGTAACCCAAAAAAATCTGTTCCGCTTGTTCACCAAGGAGGAACTGGAAAACATTATTAAAGATATTTGATGGATTATTTTACTAACTATTCAATTTCTTTCTGAACTACGAGGACACATTTGATGGTGTATTCAAATCATTATTTTCTATTTGTTTGTGTGTGAGACGTCACCAGAGTTGTACAACACAGTTGACATGTCCACTCTTCACAATGAGCCGTTGTTCAAAGTTTTGAATACCATTTGTGTGACATAAACTTGTTGGTGGGCACGGTCAAAATAAACATTGAGATCATTTAGAGGAGTTTTAGCATTATTTGTGTTTGGTGATGCAGATGTGTATGGTAGTGTTTTGGTGATGCAGGTGTGTATGGTAGTGTTTTGGTGATGCAGGTGTGTATGGTAGTGTTTAGTGAGGCAGATATTAGTATGTTTGGCTGTTAATCTCTCACTTCTCTGTATAATGTGTGGTTAGCTGCTATCCACGGTACTCATAATGGTGAAGACAAATACAGCACGTACGATTAATTTTTTAAAAATATTGGCAAGTACAAGTGTACACTATAGTTCTTTATTCAGAGTAATCAAATACCGGTATAATAACTTTTATAAAAATATTTGTAGATGTTTGAGTGGAATATAATGGTTTGCAATATAAACACCATAATGGTCAGTTATCAAACATGGTCTGTCTAAAAGAATTGGATGGTCAAGATTATTAAGTTGGGTTGTCCGACCCCCTCACTCATCTGCTATTCTGTTCGCAAACGAATCAGATGTTTTAAATATTTTCCACCTTGAGAGTAGGATCTACGGAGATGTCTGGCAGATGCATCATGCCTGTTGTAAAGTGCTTGCCTGAGCCAAAGCTCTGCCCCAGAAAGCGGATGTATCAAATGTTGTGGATGTTTCAGCCACTGTACCATCACTTCTCTATGCAGACCTTAACTTCATCATTAGGTCAATGAACTGTGCATTGATGGTTTGTTGATTCTTGCAGTTCAGCGCTTCACATAGAAAAATGGTGGGGAGATGGATCAACATGCAGTGAAGATAGAATAAACTTACGGGTACATTTCTTGTTCCCCTTTTCCATTTTTTTTTTTTGAGGAGGGGCTGGTGTGATTTCTGGAAGCATCAGCCATTTACTCTTATAATCCGTTATTCAAATATTGATGTCGTTTTGGTTGGATGTTCCATGGAGAGATTATTATAGGGCCTGAAAGCACCAGCCATTATCTTCTCATAACCCGTTATTCAAATATTGATGTCATGGAAGGTCGATAGTGGATTGATCATTATGGAGCTGACAATCTTTGAGTGTAAAACAGATTCAAACATGATTGATATGTAGAGGCAAAGATTACTTGTTTTAAAAAAATCTTTTTTTTTGTTTTTGGAAGATTAATTTAGGACTATTTTTGGGATGCCATTCATTTGATACTACTTCTGAAGTACCATCCATTTGATACTACTTTTGAAGTCCCATCCATTTGATACTATTTGAAGATTCATTGGTCTAAAAATGATTAAGGTTAAAGTAGGTTGCAGCATCCCTTCTTATCATCTTTGGCCCATGTTTCTGTTGTCCTGACTTTGTTCACTAACAGGTCTATGAACAGGATCCACATTTTGACCTCCTGGTGGTCCTCTGGCAGCCCCAATGCGCCCGCAATGAATGATGGGAACTTCTTCTGCAAAGGCTGAAATGGACAATTTAATTTGTGCTGTGAGCAACAGTTAAACAATTGTTAGACGTCGAAGGTATCTGGACTTTAAAAAAAGTATGTCCGAGTCCAATTAAGGCATCGTGACACGGTTCCTACCTGACAGTGCTGAGCATCTACATATAATAATGCTGAACATATACATATAACAGTGCTGAACATCTAGATATAATAATGCTGAAACATATGCGTAGATTTCAATTTCATGTGCTCTAATCGTTAAATGACTTGGCATCCGCTATTTGTTGGCCCAGTCCCCGAAGAGCACTAAGTGTCGTTGGGTCAAGCAGGTAGGCGGCTTACTTCCTATAGAGTAACTAGTATAGTTTGGTCAAGCAGTTACTGAGTTAGTCGGCCTACTTCCCAAAAGAGCACCTAGTATCGTTTGGTCACAAAGATAGTCGACCTACTTCCCAAATAGCGTCCCTAGTATCATTTGTTCACGAAGATAGTCGACCTACTTCCCAAATAGCACCTAGTATCGTTTGGTCACGAAGATAGTCGACCTACTTCCCAAATAGCACCTAGTATACTAGTATCGTTTGGTCACGAAGATAGTCGACCTACTTCCCAAATAGCACCTAGTATCGTTTGGTCACGAAGATAGTCGACCTACTTCCCAAATAGCACCTAGTATCGTTTGGTCACGAAGATAGTCGACCTACTTCCCAAACAGCACCTAGTATCGTTTGGTAACGCTGGCCTATATGTTATTTGATATTACTTGTCAAAATGAGCATTAAGCTTGAACAAAATGTTTTACAAAAATACGTCACATGTTCTTTCTCTACGGCGTTTGAGACACCAATGTAGGTCATTGGGCAATGTCCACATATTCGACAAGTACAAGGATTCAAAACGTGACAGCTTATTGGTCCGTGTTACCGTATATGTGACAGCTTATTGGTCTGCGTTCTCTTTTACTTAGACACCCATGTTAGCTGTGTGGCTGAGTAAGTTACCCTTAAAACTTACACGCCCCATCAACTCGGCGAGCAATACATGGATTTGCTCTTCACCAAATATAGAACAACAAGTGAAATTCCCATTACTGTGTAATCATCTTCCACACAATCCCGCGCCAACACACCTTTTGCGTGACTCCAAGCTAACAACAGCGTACACATTGACGGAACTGTTCGCTGCATGACGTTCTCGCATTCCCCTTAAACTGCCAGCTTTAACAAAGAATATGTTTCCAGCTATTTTTTTCCAAGCGTACATCTTTTTGTGCTCAATTTTTTATTTTTTAAATTATTTTTTTACAATTGTTTTAGTTGATCTAACTGTATGAATGCCATACAATTTCAAACACATAGCGTTTGCGCTGACAACTGTGTACGGGTTTGATCACTGTTTTCCAGCAGTTGGTCCTTGGAGTCTCCCCTAAACTGTCGACTTCTGTATGTGTTGCATCCACACTCAAGATTTTAGCAACGTTAAAACCTGTACCAATATCAACCATTTAATTGTTTTTACAATTTTTAATTTTTTTTTTGGAAGGTGTTGGGTAGTTATTTTTTCTGCCACATTATGAAAAGATATAATAATAATAGGAACAGGTATTATATAAAAAAATATTTTAACGTAATGTGGATGGAAAAGAATAAACATTGTATTTAATATTGTACATTGTACACACGAGTAAAGGAACATTAAAACACGAATTGTACTCTCGGCTGATTTTTAAGGATAATTGCAAGTTTATCAGATTTGTCTTATCTTAAGGCAGCGGTTCTCAACCTGTGGAACGCGACCCCTTTGGGCTCGAACGACATTTTTACAGGGGTCGCCTGAGACCACCGGAAAACACATATACTTTACATTTATGAAGTAGCAATGAAAAAAAATTTTTGGGTTGGGGGTCGCCACAACATGAGGAACTGTATTTAAGGGTCACGGTATTAAGAAGGTTGAGAACCACTGTCTTAAGGCATCCAAACTTTTTTTATGTTGCTGGCATCTGTCCGTTACAATGTGACGATGGTGTAGACTTCGCTGGACGAAATCCACAAGGCATAGGATTATTCTTTTTTAGGATTATAAAATGGCTCACTACACAGCAAATCGCCTCTCTCCACGCCGCTGGATGACCCAAGGGAACATCATGTGGATAATACAGCTTGGCGTTGCAGGAGCTGTCGGAACGCTTCATTGTACCAATGTTATCCGCCTACGGAACTCCATCTCCAGGTTTTGAATTCAGAGATTCCTAAATTATAGCACTATTTAAATACTTTTTAATTACGTTTTAAAACTTAAGTAAAGATATGTGTGCCTAGCCCACCAAACAACCCGTCTAAATAGTACTCACGCCTGTGTGCCTAGCCCACCAAACAACCCGTCTAAATAGTACTCACGCCGAAAAATTTGATGCCAATCGGATTTTTTCTATTGATATGCGCCTGAGACAGATAGAAAATTTCAAGCTGCAACTTGCTAGGATGGTCCAGATCTTCCATCATGGAGTCTATCCACGTGATGATCTTATTGACGTGCTTCTGAAACTGGACGTCGGCATTCAACACGTCCGGACTCTTGGTGGCGTCGAACAGGTGTTCGAACTGTTTCTTCATGTCCGGGATGTTCGCAAACATCCTGGTGGCAGGAGTAAAGTGGCATCGTCAGAGCCAAACAGAGAGGCATTGTCAAAAAGAGAGGCATTGCAGAGTGATGGAGACGTTGTCAGGGGGGGGGGGCATTGTCTGAGTCATACAGAGAGGCATTGCCAGAGTCATCATAGAGACATTGTCAGAGAGGCATTGCCAGAGGTGGCACTGTTAGAGTTAAATCACAGTGGCATTTTTAGACTAGCATAGTCATACATGAGCATTTTTAGAGTCCAACAGAGTGGAGTTTAAAAAAAAAATCAGAGTGGCATAACATAGAATAACAAGAATGACAACAACGGCAGCAATCTTTCAGGAAGACACTTTGCAAACCATGATCTCAATTTTTATAACACTTGCTTATCTACGGATTTGACCGGAAAAGTTGATAATCAGGAAGGGGTCAAACCACTTTTGGTCCAGGTAATCGACCTCTGACGGTAGTCCTTCAGTCAAAGCGAGTAACAAATTATAGAATTTAGGTGGGTGCACCGGAACTTTATTTTGCATTTCAAATTCAACGGGCCGTCTAATTTTCTTGATAATCTTAAATTTTTTTACGGTTCTCATCTCATTTCTTTTTGCAGATTGCACGCATTTCAAAAAGTGCACCACGCAGCTTAAAGCGTCACAATCTACCACATGCTACAAATGTCACAATCTACCACATGATACAAATGTCACAATCTACCACATGATACAAATGTCACAATCTACCACATGATACAAATGTCACAATCTACCACATGATACAAATGTCACAATCTACCACATGATACAAATGTCACAATCTACCACATGATACAAATGTCACAATCTACCACATGATACAAATGTCACAATCTACCACCTGATACAAATGTCACAATCTACCACATGATACAAATGTCACAATCTACCACATGATACAAATGTCACAAGCTACCACATGATACAAATGTCACAATCTACCACATGATACAGATGTCACAATCTACCACATGATACAAATGTCAAAATCTACCACATGATACAAATGTCACAATCTACCACATGATACAAATGTCACATTATACCACATGATACAAAGGTCACCATATACCTCATGATACATTGATGAATCAATGGCTGGTTGTGAGTTTTCTGCTCCAATTGATTTCTTACGGAGAGGGACAGGCGAGAGGCGATTTCTTAGTACGGTCTAAAAAGACACGTGTGAGAGACAGCGACTTGAGGATAAGGTGGAGAGCGTAGCATAGGAGTTGTGGGGTGGGGGTTAACTTAGCAACCCAACTGTACATAGATTTTTGTTACAGAAATATAAAATTTCTGCCCATTTCAGGTACATAAATATGTCTAATTGTGCTACAAATCAATGCCTTAGGAAATAACTTCAGAGATATTCAAAACAAGAAAATAGTGAAAAGTGTGTATGGGTTGGGGCTTTTAAACACATAAAAATGGCGAGCACCCAATTTAATTTCAGAATATAGCATTGATACCCCCCACCCCCATATATTAAAAATAATTTTAAAATAAACAATATATGAAAAAAATGACAACTATGGTAACATAAACTTTAAAGATTAGAAATTCTAAAATTAGTTAGATCATTTACACAGTGGGCATGTTAAAGTCTAACACAATGTGTACTTTAAATGTGTACGTTAAACGAGCCGACGTGCACACATCTAGTGCAAAACGAACACGGTGGGTCGGACTCAGTACCATAAACCCAGCCTCTGCTCCCCTAGTTTCTCCACCCCCAGTTCCCACAAACCTAGTCCTGCCCCCGTTCCCCCTATCCCCAGTTCCTGCCCCAGTTCCCCCTATCCCCAGTTCCTGCCCCAGTTCCCCCTATCCCCAGTTCCTGCCCCAGTTCCTCCTATCCCCAGTTCTTGCCCCAGTTCCTCCATCCCCACCTCCACGAGTCTGATGAACGGTACCCGGTAACCAAGTTGTACATAACCGATCGCTCAGTGTTTCTCCAACGAAACTATCACTAGGTAGCGCCACGGCACAAACACGGCCTTTTCCCGGCGAATAATTCCAGTCAAGTTTGAATGGCCAGCCTACCAATGCAAGAAGGTCCTCCCAAACTCCACTCCCTTGACAGCGAACTCTTCTTGGGAGGAGCCTACCACCCTCTTCCATGAACTTTTCAGCACTGCCTTTTCTCTGGAAGCAAGAATGATAAAAATATGTTAACACCCCAACAGCCTGATAACAGCCCGATCACTCGAAAGGACATCATTGAAACAAGAAATTAAAAAAAAAAAAAAAAAGTTAATTTTCTCTATTATCTTTTGAAAAAAATGGTAAGTGGAAGCAAGAATGATAAAAATATGTTAACACCCCAACAGCCTGATAACAGCCCGATCACTCGAAAGGACATCATTGAAACAAGAAATTAAAAAAAAAAAAAAGAAGTTAATTTTCTCTGTTATCTTTTGCAAAAACTGGTAAGTCTTAAAAGTCAACATCTATTACCCACGGTAAAGGACTAGTACTGCAAATTGAAGTTATAGTCTGCCTGACTATTGGAGTTCATTAATAATTGTTGCGACTGGATATTATGTTTCATTAAGCGCGGTGTGTGTTTGTGAGAGGGAAATTAGTTAGTGAACGCTCTTCGCGCGCCTGATTTGGTGACGTATTTTTATGCTCATTATGACGTATTGTCTAGTCTGTTTTGTGACGTACGTTTTAGTCGTGTGGCAGTCTTGAAAGGAACTTTGTGGAAGGAGGTTGTGTTTTATTTCTCTCGGACAGCGAGCCGCGCTATATGCATGTGTTTATGGAATTTACAGTCTGTATATGATTAGATATTAAAGTGACATTTATCGTGATAAAGGACTTGTGTTGATTCATTGCTAGTACGACGTATTACAACGTGTGAAAGAGATTGATGCATTAACCAATCTAGTAGAAACAGGAGTTGACAGTCTATAAACCAAAGAATTAAACCTCCACATATGTGTTCAAATCAAATACATTATTGAAATAGAGAAATCGCTTACAATAAACTCTCTTAGTTAGTAGGAAGGGTGTGTGGAGGGGGCCGTCCTTACATATATAGTATTTGTAATGAGGGGGCCGTCCTTACATATATAGTCTTTGTAATGAGGGGGCCGTCCTTACATATATAGTCTTTGTAATGAGGGGGCCGTCCTTACATATATAGTCTTTGTAGTGAGGGGGCCGTCCTTACATATATAGTCTTTGTAATGAGGGGCCGCATTTTTGGCCTCGTGCAGAGGTTTTTTTTTTTGTTCCGGGGGAATGGGGCGGCGTAAATCAAAGTACACCCTGGACGGCACCAACCCTAGCTACGCCACTGAACTTGGTAACCAATGAGACTTTCAGGATACATAGAGGAAATGGATCAGTCATCTAGATTTAGTAGCATTTATGACAATGTGGCAGCGTCGACTTTGATAGCAGTTGTTACTGTGGTAATGAGGGTGACAGTTGTGACAATGTGACTACTTTTCTCCCCCCCCCCTTTTTTTTTGTTTTTGTTTTGTTGTTATTTGTTGAACGATAGAATATCAAGGACTGCGTTCAAGCTGTGTGAAGGAAGTAGTGAAACAAGATATGTTGCAGAGTGAAATGAAAAGACATGACAATGTAACATAGCATTCCCCTCCTTCTTGGCGAGTTCCAAAGAGTTAAAAAAATTTTGAACTGTTTTCTATATCTTGTTGTTCCTTGTTTTGTCCAGTCTGCTGAAGAAGGCTCTTAGTGGAAAAGTTCTCCTTCTATTGTCCTGTCTTTTCATTTCAAGCCTCAACATACCTTGTTCCACTATCCCCTTAGTAGGACCCTGATTGTGACAGCTGTTACAGTTGTGACCCCGATTGTGACAGCGAGGGCGGCGGTAACTGTTTCACACGGCTGTGACAGTTTATACGGTGATTAAGATAGTTGTGACAGTAGTTGTGACAGTAGTTGTGACAGTTGTGGCAGTGATTGTGACAGTTGTAGCAGTGGTTGTGAGAGTTGTGGCAGTGGTTGCGTCAGTGTTTGTGATAGTTATGTCAGTGATTGTACGGTTTTGAAGGTGTCTGTGACAGTTGTGACAGCTGTGACAGTGGTAAAAGGACTAGCATCCGTCCAGCCACTTACTCGTCCGTGAGGTTGGTGATGGGGCACCGGACCGTCAGATACTCCTTTGGCACACCGCCGTCCGCCATACTTGGACTTGCCATAAGGCCTTTCACGGTATCTGGGCCAGCGGATGAAAACAAGACATTTGGTAAATTTATGCTTCTTCAATTAATTTAAACTGACTAGTCTAATAATTTATGCATGCAACAATTTACTAAGATTTTAAAAAAATGTATACATTAATATTTATGGGAGCAATACAGAAATATGATTAATCACCATGCTTCGCAAATTTATATGACAATTTTTGTTACCGATAAAGCAACTATTTAAGTAAAAAAATGATGAACTAATAATCTTAGATTACGTTTACGAGTAGAGAGTAATACTTTTTAAAAAATATACATGGGTCCATCTTTATTTGAAAAAAAAAAGAGTAATAAAAACGAATTTAGAATATTTTTGATCAGCTATGAGTTGCGTATGAATGAAAACTAGAATAAGTGAGCGTTTTCTCTTTTAAATGTTTTGCTTCTGGTGTGGCTGCTTCCTTTTCGCAAACAGCCCCCCCCCTAATCAACATGTTTTATATTAATAGTACTCAGTGAGCAACAACGCAGGCAAGCGTCCGTCATACGTGACGTTCGAGCTCGGGTAAAAATGTTAAAGTTTTCTTTAAATACTATTAATAAAGAGCCACGGGTATGGTGTGGGACTGTCTTTAGAACTATTGTTGAAAGGCTAGCATACAGGATGTAGGATGTAGGACTGTCTTTAAGCCTATTGTTTGTAGACAATGAGAAGTTAACTCTATTTTTGTTGTTGTTTGGTAACACTTTTGGACCCAACACTTTTGGACCCAACAATTTTGGACCCAACACTTTTGGACCCAACACTTTTGGACCCAACACTTTTGGACCCAACACTTTTGGACCCAACACTTTTGGACCCAACACTTTGAACCCCACACTTTTGGACCCAACACTTTTGGACCCAACACTTTTGGACCCAACACTTTTGGACCCAACACTTTTGGACCCAATGGTATTTTTTTCAAATTACCCGGACCCGGTGTAAAAAAACTGCACCCGGCTCAGCATTTGTATTTAATACTGTTTTAAATATATTTATTTCTTTAATATTGTAAATCAGATGGTTCTGTAAATAATGTACACATGTCTTTCTGGTTTGGTGGGCCGACTTAACGGTAGGCCCTCTCTTGATTTAATATTCATGCCCCCCCCCCCCACACTCCACCAGTAATCACCTGCTTGCTCTATATATTCTTACGTATTAACAACAGGAATCTGTGTGATTTAAAAGAATTTCACTACAGAAACGCTGCTTTCAAATAATGTTCAGTAAAAATTTGAACCAACGAAAGTAGTTCTGATACTAACGTTCGGCTGCGGGATGTAACACAGCTGACTTAAGAACGCACACAGCTGACTTAAGAACGTTGACGGCCGACTGAAGAACGTAGACAGTTTGAGTTGGTTGTCTGAAGACCGTAGACAGCTGAATGAAGGGCGTAGACAGTTGTCTGAAGACCGTAGACAGCTGAATGAAGAACGTAGACAGTTGTCTGAAGACCGTAGACAGCTGACGACGGAGTGTCCTTCGCGTTGCCTCTAAATTAGGTTAATCCTGCCAAGCTCCAGACCTCCAAATGATCATGTCATTCTAAAGACAGACACAACATGTCTGTGTCCACAGGATGTTACAAGAAATTTGGAATGTAAACAAGCGACGAGGTGACGTACACCCCACACTTCCTATTTAGTACAAGTGCAAACAAGTGCAAACAAGTGCATACAAGTGCAAAAAAGTGCAACAGATACTCAGTAAAAGACACAACCCGTGGGGCATGGACCTCATCAAGTTGTTGGATGAATTAAAGAATAGCGCTACAATTATTCACCTTTATTCTGAAAAAAAAAAAAAAAAAAAAAAAAAAAAAGATCTTCATTAAATGTTAGCCTGGCAAATTGTTGCAGAAATCTAAGGGGGGGGGGGCAGGCGGCTCACTGGTCGACCAAGACTGAGATTGAACGATGATGTAGAGAAGGACTTAAACCAGCTGGCGGAAAGCCATATAAAGATCTTCATTAAATGTTAGCCTGTCAAATTGTTGCAGAAATCTAAGGGGGGGGGGGGCAGGCGGCTCACTGGTCGACCAAGACTGAGATTGAACGATGATGTAGAGAAGGACTTAAACCAGCTGGCGGAAAGCCATAAATCGGTCATAATGGAAGGATGTGGTTGAGCAGGCCAGGGTCCTTCACTGATGATGATGATGATGTAAATTTTTTGCCGCATACTCACCAAATGTTAATTTGAAATTAAACAATTCTAAAAAGTGTTGGACTGCGATAAAGCTTTGACATAGATTTATTAGACACGAACAAGTTGTGCCAATATAACAAAATATGTTGAGCTTTAATAATAATATCACACAATTCACAAGTAGACGTTTCGGCACATGCCTTCATCAGTGTAACAACAAAAATTTTCAATAAGTATAGTATAAATTAAATGTACATAATATGTATACACATATTATTATATCCTACCTAAAAGAAAGAGAAGATAAAGGAGCGGGCGCAAAAACCAGAAATATATGTAGAAGAAGATGAAGGTAGGTAATAGTAAGTGTATATTTTGACGTGGATGACAATATATTTAGATCATATGGTATTTCATTTGTGAAAAAAGAGATGTTACATTCTCTTTTTATAAATATGAATTTGTTCATTTTGACCCAGGCAGCAAAAGATACGTCTCAAAATAAGGAGATGTTACATTCTCGTTTTACATATAAACATATATTTACCAATTAAGAAGATCGATGGCGTTAAAAAAACGTGAGTACATTTATATAAGCATTCCCATGAAAATCAAAACCCACCAATCATTTTACACACTTGAACATTTGAATTTTTAAAAAATGGAGATGTATTAATATTTTCTTTCAAAAATATGAAAATATATTTTAGTTTTTACTTTGCCAAAATTAAAGGGGGTATGTATTTTTTTAATGAGATGATCAATGAAAAGAAAAAATACAATAAAGTCTGTTATAGAAAAGGAAAACTGTTTCGAGATTCTGCTTTAGATAAAAGAATTCTTTGTTTTACGATTTTCTGATAATGTATAAATAGAAAAAAAAGGGCAAAAGTGTGTTTAAATTTTTGATGAAGATATCAAGATATCAAATTCCTTAAATGTAGAATATATTTATTTCATATATAGAGTTTTTGTTGTAAGTTTAAGATTATGTGTTGTAACAGTTTTTTTTAGAGAAATAAAAGTTGTAGTAAAAGGGCAAGAAAAGGGGTAAATCTAAAGTATTTCTCTAGCGTAAAAATCGCCACTCAATCAACTTCTTTAGTGACGAAAGTGATATATTTAGTGCTAATTTAGATTGGGTAATTTAAGGTCATGTTTAGAGGGAGAAAAAGTAGTTTAGGGGTGTGAAAAGGTGTACGTTAGGCGTATAAAATATAGAAGATAAATACTTCTAAAAACTTAATGATATTAGAAACGTAAATATCATTACATAGATACTTCTTTTTAAAGTTAGGAATTGTGATGAGTTTTTGCAATAGCAGGTAGAAATTATCACAAAGGAACTATCATAATTTTCCCGATAATATCGGGTCACATATTTTAGTATTTAATAAAATAGTATATTAGACATCCTTTCTGTTTTAAAAGAAGAATTTATGTATGTATGTTTACGTTTCTAACATCATTGGGTTTTTGAGATTTTTTTTCTCCTATACGTTTTTCCGCCCCTGAACTAGGAAGAAAATCCACTTTATCAAAAAAAAAAATTGAATCCACGTCCTTAAGTGCAGGGGCGTAGCGAGGGTTAGTGTCACTCGGTGTGGTAAACTCATGGTGTCACCACCAACCCCTTACCCCGTCTTCCAATATGGATTTCTTCTTGTTAAAATAAGTCCACAGTATAAAAATGACAATAAAATCAACAAATTAATTGATGGCCAGGAGGTAAGTAATATTTAAGAACTGTAACAAAGTAAAGTTATAGTCATTTTTACAATAAATTTACTTAATTTAAAATTTTCCTCTCGTGGTCTTCAAAGCTGTGGACCCGTCAATTGCTGGATCAAAATCAATACCGTATCCTTCACCGTATCCTTCACCGTATCCTTCACCGTATCCTTCACCGTATCTCTTTCAATTGATATTGGAGCCAGGTCAGAACGTTTTGCCTGTTCCATGGTGAATTTATATATATAATTTGACAGCAAAGGTCAAACACCACGCCACCACGCAGGCTATATATAGATAATGAGTTCACTGGTGCGCAAAATATAATTCTAGATAACTGCGCTAAATTATTTATATTTTTTTAAATAACGCAACTTCGTTTGGTGCGTAATATTTTTCGATAACTGAAATCGTCTCAATTGAAGGATGGTGTAAACAACAAACATTCAGTTTAAAAGTATTTGGGACATCAGAGTATTTAAATATAGTTCATGGGCGTGAAAAAAAAATGTGAAGTGACGTATCAATTTAGTAGAAAGAAATGGGATTCATAAATGTGCAATACTTGAGTTCATGTTTTGTAAAGTAACTGTAGTGGATGGGAAGTTCACTAATTGCCGTCACCAATGTTTGGCGGGCTATAACTAGTTGTAAATAATTCTTGGTAAGCCTTAGTTTTGAAAAGCTTCGCTCACATAAAGCCACAGACTCACAGTTCGTAAGAAACAGTTAAAGGCTTAGCGAGAGTATTGGAAGAGATTCTAGGAAGTCTCAGTCTGCTATAAATTTTAAAACATCAAATACTGACCAGACCATGGCTTTGTGAAATTCAATATCAGCTGCCTTTGGATGTCTTCTAAGCCTTGGTATTTCTTTTAAAAGTTCATATTCTGATAACTCATCATAAAGAGAAGTTAATTTTGGAACGGACACCAATAACTCTTCTTCACTTGCTGATAGTAGTCTATTGGGTTGAACAGTCCCAAACATCAGATACTTCTTTTATCACTGAAGATTTAATCTAGGGTTCAGAATGAAAGCGATCAATACACTCCAGCATCTCTCGACTGTTTTCTTCTAACATAAAGAGTCCATTATCTATTAATTGTTCTCCTTACAGTCTCTTTTTAGACCGTAATCTTCTCTGTACCAAAAGTCGATATCTGTCTGATTCTAAAAGTTCCTTTTCAATAGCATGCTCCACCAAGTGACAACGCTTCTCGTGCAGAAACCATCTTAAGGCCTCTAGGTAGATCACCTCTTTGTCAGGAGTAAAGCCATTAGTCTTCAGATACTGATGTGTAAGATTAACTTACTAAAATAGATCAGCCCAAAGGTAAAAGTAGCAGATACATGTGAGATCACAGACAGCATGTAAAAAACATTGTGCTATATCACAATAGTGCTCTGATGTTAAGGTGCGGTACTGGTGACGAATTGACGGAAATGTTTATTTATGAATATTTTTGACTTTCCATGTATTAGGTTTCAAAAACCTTAAAAAAAATACATTAATTATTAAAAGATATTAGAACATTTTGTTAACCCTATAAAGGGGTAAACATTCATGATTTAATGTTTTTAATCTTTATTTCATGTGCTTAAAATCATCCCACCATATCGTATTTGTTATCGATGGAAAGTTTTATTTTATATCTCATAATTCAGATAAATATAGCTGTCACTTACGAAAGTTACCCATAACATCACTCGGCGTTGAATCATGGTCTAAAAGGTGTTTTTCCGATCTAATCATTATGTCACCTCATTTCTGACGCATCAACCTTGAACTTTTATGAAATACTTTACGAGATGTCAGAACGAGCAGTGTGGGCTCTGTAAATATGTAATTTTTCAGTTCGGTGTCACCCGGTACGGTCCGCACCAACCGCACCCCACATAGCCACTGGAACTAAGTAATCTTTGAGTTTGTTCCCTGGGACTTACACTCGGAACTAGACTCAGGTTGTGCAGCTGAGCCACGGCGAGAGGGCCAAGACTTACTGCCAAGCCGTAAAGTGTACACTGGGTAGAGAGTACAGGATAAATTGCCCTGCCTCATTTTCTGTCTCGGGTTGATCCTGTAGTATAGGCCAAAACGTGCCAAAGAGTCCTTATTTTTATAGCCATTTTAATGTTTAGGCTATTTTATTATTTTATTTATCACATTGTAGTTACTATTCTAGTGTCTCTGGTTTTTTCCTTTTTATTTTACTTAGGCAGTTTATAGTTTACATAGTTTTAATAATTGCAAAGCTTAGAGCTGTAAGGTAAGCGATATAAAAAAATGCCTAAATAAATAAATAAATAAAATAAATTAAAGTCTAAAACAGTCAAGGGAACCATAACAGAACTCAAGTGCAACACAAGTACTCAAACCAATGAAAATTAATTATAGCTCATTTTTAGTATTAAAATTTGAATCTGTATATTATTGACAGAAGAAGTATTATGTGCTTTAGGCCATGATTTGTTATGACTTACAAAATAGTCTTGAGTAATTTATAAGGTAATGATTAATTTAAATTCTCAATAGGATATGACACAAGATCCTCCGTGTTTTATTCTCAGTAGGGTATGATACAAGATTCTCCGTGTTTTATCCGCAGTAGGATATGATACAATATTCTCCGTGTTTTATTCTCAATAGGATACGACACAATATTCACCATGCTTATTGTGTCGTGTCACGAAATGTTCCACTCTCTGAGTCACAAAGCAGATTGTGACACAATTCCCTGACTCTAAACTACTGACTTCTTGTTCATCTTAATTGTAGCACACCCATGTTCGTGTGTTGTGACAGATCATTGAATTCTGTAAATGGCTCTGAAAAGTCCGCCATGACCAGCGTCTAAGAGAGCGCTGTCCCTCTTAAGGCATCGGGTGTATATGGGAGGCTGATTTTACGGGTGTGTCTGGGAGGCTGACTCTTCGGGTGTGTCAGGGAGGCTGACTTTTCAGGTGTGCATTGGAGGCTGACTTTACGGGTGTGTCGGGGAGGCTGACTTTTCGGGGGCGCATTGGAGGCTGTACTTCGGGTGCGTATTGGAGGCTGACTTTTCGGTTGTTTATGGGAGCTACTTTTCCGCTGTGTCGCTTTGTGGATCGTTTCCATGTTCAGCCAGCTGCAAAGCATCATGTAAGGGGAGACATTTCGACATTTTTGCAGGTGCTTATCAATGATTAGTTGCTGGGGTTAGTAACAATAAACTCCTGTCAATAAAGTCATAATTTAAGAGCAGTGTCTAGTTCTGAGGAGTAACTCTGAGAAAATAAATATATCTAAACCAGAGCATCCATTGTTAGTTTATTTAAAAAAAAGTGAAGTCATTTTTATTCTGCTAAAAAAAAAATGAAGTTGATTTTAGTTGATTAAAAAATTGAAGTCATTTTTAACTTTAAAAAAAAAAGTGAAGTTTATTCAACAAAGAGTGAAGTCATTTTTAGTTTATTTAAAAAAGTGAATTCATTTTTAGCTTATTTAAAAAAAGTGAAGTCATTTTTTAGCTTATTTGAAAAAATGAATTCATTTTTAGTTCTTTAAAAGTGAAGTCGTTTTTAGTTTATTTAAATAAAATGAAGTCATTTTAAAATGATGTTTAAAAGTGAAGTCGTTTTTAGTTTATTTAAATAAAGTGAAGTCATTTTAAATTGATGTTTAAAGGTGGAGTCGTTTGAAGTTTATTTTTAAAAGTGCGGTCGCTCGAAAAAAACATTTAAATAAGTGCATTAATTTTAAGTCCTTTTCAACGATGAATGCCAAATATTCACACAACAACATATGTATGACTTCTTACGTTTATATTTATTTCGCAGATGTATACATTTTGAGCATTCGGCTTGTTTGCGCATTCTGTGTTTATTTGTAGCAAGTGTGAACAACATTTAAATAAAACTAGCAACTCGCTAATCGCCAAAAGTTCTCACGCTAGCACGCCAATGTTCTCACGCTAGCACGCCAAAGTTCTCACGCTAGCACGCCAAAGTTCTCACGCTAGCAGACCAAAGTTCTTACGCTAGCACACCAAAGTTCTCACGCTAGCAGGCCAAAGTTCTTACGCTAGCACACCAAAGTTCTCACGCTAGCACACCAAAGTTCTCACGCTAGTATGCCAAAGTTCTTACGCTAGCACACCAAAGTTCTCACGCTAGTATGCCAAAGTTCTTACGCTAGCACACCAAAGTTCTCACGCTAGTATGCCAAAGTTCTTACGCTAGCACACCAAAGTTCTCACGCTAGCACACCAAAGTTATCACGCTAGCACGCCAAAGTTCTCCCGCTAGCACGCCAAAGTTCTCCCGCTAGCACGCCAAAGTTCTTACGCTAGCACACCAAAGTTCTCACGCTAGCACGCCAAAGTTCTTACGCTAGCACGCATGCTTTTGGCTTTTTGAGAAGCTTTTCAGACTTCTTGACTTTTGTTGTCAACACATTGGAAAATAACTCCCAGATTTTCACCTCTTCGTCGGTTTCGGGCTTTCCCAACTGCGTGGCCATGAATGAAGGGAATTTTTCTTGGAAGGGCTGGAAAAAAAATATGAACGACGATAGCTCCTTTATTCAAATGATCTCTGTGTTTTTAAATGTATAGTGTTAGTCTGGTCGGAAGTGAGCGGTTAATTAAATCTGGGGCTATTAAACCTCTATCTTAAATTTTAAGTCGATAGAGAATGCAGTCTTTAAAAAAAATAAAAACCTTAATGTTAAAATAGTATTTATCGTAAGATCGTAATAGATTATCATTGTGCGGGATCACAAAGACTTAATGCAAGTAAAACTGTTAAATCGTAGGTCTCACCCAGGGCCGGCTCAAGGTACTGGCAACTAGGGCAGTTGTTCATACTGCCTACGGTAGGCTCATTGGTCATACGGCCCACGGGAGGCAAATTACTCATAATGCACGCGGTAGGCTAATTGTTCATACTGTCTATGGTAGGCTAATTGTTCTTAATGTCTATGGTAGGCTAATTGTTCATACTGTCTATGGTAGGCTAATTGCTCATACTGTCTATGGTAGGCTAATTGTTCATACTGTCTATGGTAGGCTAATTGTTCATAATGTCTATGGTAGGCTAATTGTTCACACTGTCCAAATACAAGCTAAGAAATTTTTTTTTACTGTTCATTGTTTTTAAAAAAAAAAAATAACTAGGCAATACACTCATTGCCTAAAACTTATTTTTTTTCCCTTAATTTTTTTGTATGATTGTACTTAAAAGGGGCGCCAAGGTTAAGCTTGCCCGGGGCGACAGCAACCGTAGGGGCGGCTCTGGTCTCACGATATTAGGTTATATCTTACACTTAAGTAGGTCACACAAATATGAGTAAATAACTTGCATGGAAGTAGGTCACACTAATATGAGTAAATAACTTACACGGAAGTAGGTCACACAAATATGAGTAAATAACTTACACGGAAGTAGGTCACATAAATATGAGTAAATAACTTACACGGAAGTAGTTCACACAAATATGAGTTAATAACTTACACGGAAGTAGGTCACACAAATATGAGTAAATAACTTACACGGAAGTAGTTCACACAAATATGAGTAAATAACTTACACGGAAGTAGGTCACACAAATATGAGTAAATAACTTACACGGAAGTAGGTCACACAAATATGAGTAAATAACTTACACGGAAGTAGGTCACATAATTATGAGTAAATAACTTACACGGAAGTAGTTCACACACATATGAGTAAATAACTTACACGGAAGTAGGTCACATAAATATGAGTAAATAACTTACACGGAAGTAGTTCACACAAATATGAGTAAATAACTTACACGGAAGTAGGTCACACAAATATGAGTAAATAACTTACACGGAAGTAGGTCACATAAATATGAGTAAATAAATTACACGGAAGTAGGTCACACAAATATGAGTAAATAACTTACACGGAAGTAGGTCACACAAATATGAGTAAATAACTTACACGGAAGTAGGTCACACAAATATGAGTAAATAACTTACACGGAAGTTGGTCACACAAATATGAGTAAATAACTTACACGGAAGTAGGTCACATAAATATGAGTAAATAACTTACACGGAAGTAGTTCACACAAATATGAGTTAATAACTTACACGGAAGTAGGTCACACAAATATGAGTAAATAACTTACACGGAAGTAGTTCACACAAATATGAGTAAATAACTTACACGGAAGTAGGTCACACAAATATGAGTAAATAACTTACACGGAAGTAGGTCACATAAATATGAGTAAATAACTTACACGGAAGTAGGTCACACAAATATGAGTAAATAACTTACACGGAAGTAGGTCACATAATTATGAGTAAATAACTTACACGGAAGTAGTTCACACACATATGAGTAAATAACTTACACGGAAGTAGGTCACATAAATATGAGTAAATAACTTACACGGAAGTAGTTCACACAAATATGAGTAAATAACTTACACGGAAGTAGGTCACACAAATATGAGTAAATAACTTACACGGAAGTAGGTCACATAAATATGAGTAAATAACTTACACGGAAGTAGGTCACACAAATATGAGTAAATAACGTACACGGAAAAAGTCACACCCATCTGAGGTAATGATCTACTCGGAAATAGGTCACACCAGTGTGAGATATTAACTTACTCGGAAGTAGGTCATCCCGATCTTAGGTTGAAGAAACAGATGCGTGATGGCCAGATGGTGTGTCTCCATCTCCAGCTCCACGGGCTTGAAGACCACGCTGATCATCGAGTCGAACCACTTGCCGACGATGCGTGCGTGGTTGACGAACTCTTTGTCTGTCAGTAGGTCTGAGGATGGGGCCGTCCCCTTGAAGATTTTGAATTGCTTCTTCGCGCCGGGAACGGCTTCCAACAACCTGAAATGTTACGTATCCGGAAATTTGATCAAAAGAAATTTCGTCGACGGAAAATTGATCGACGGAAATTTGGTCGAATCTTTTTTTCCTTCAGTTCACACGTTAAAATTTAGCGTCAAATTTCTTTTTAAAATCACTATTTTTTTAGTATGTAGTTTAGTGTGTTTAAAAAGAAATTTGACGAAAATTTTAACATGTGAACTGAAAAAAAGACTTGAAAAAATAGCCATTCGATCAAATTTCCGTCGATCAATTTTCCGTCGACCAAATTTCTTTCGATCAAATTTCCGGTAACCGAAATGCTACGCAGTTAATATTTGAGTTATATCAGTTTAGAATAATAAGTCACCAGAATGCACTCTTACTCCTATTCCAGATGTCGGATAGCAAATATTGAATAGAATACATTCGAAGAGTGAGTTAAAGATATCTTTAGTTTAACGTTTAATTTCAAGTACATACATTTTTAAAAAGTTTAAATAGACAAGCACTTGAATTGTTTTGTTTGTTTTTGGATAGGCCTTTTAACTGTTTGGGTATGTTTTTTTTTAATTTTTTTTTTGGGGCTACTTGGGTAGATTTGAACTTTGAACTGTTTAGTTAGTTATTTGGTAATTTGGGTCATAATTTGATCATTTGCCTAATCTTCTGTTGAATTGGTTAATTTTATAAATGATGCGTAAGTATTTGAATTTACATTTACGGTCGATTTCGTCTTATTTCTGGTGGACCAATAAGAAACTATGTGGACAGCCTTGCGTGTATATGTAGTTAAGATGCTCATCATTCCTGCCGGGAAGGGAATCCAATAATCGGCAGCAGTTTGCTTACCAAAAATAATGTTAAGATCTTAACTGTCAAATTTAAAATAGGCTAATCAAAATAATGATACATCCCAGTGGTCGGAAAACTCATGAGTCAAAAGTAGGCCAGTGGTCGGCAAACTAATTAGTCAAAAGTAGGCCAGTGGTCGGCAAACTCATTAGTCAAAAGTAGGCCAGTGGTCGGCAAACTCATTAGTCAAAAGTAGGCCAGTGGTCGGCAAACTCATTAGTCAAAAGTAGGCCAGTGGTCTCCAGTGGTCGGAAAACTCATGAGTCAAAAGTAGGCCAGTGGTCGGCAAACTCATTAGTCAAAAGTAGGCCAGTGGTCGGAAAACTCATTAGTCAAAAGTAGGCCAGTGGTCGGAAAACTCATTAGTCAAAAGTAGGCCAGTGGTCGGCAAACTCATGAGTCAAAAGTAGGCCAGTGGTCGGCAAACTCATTAGTCAAAAGAGCCCAAAAATCATCAGCAAAGCGATTAGATTTTGTTTGAGAGCCAAATTTCTTTTCAAGAGCCTGCCAAGAACCATGTTTTTCGGAGTCAAAACCGATTTGTGGCTGACTGGCCGAGCCGCACTCATGGCGCTAAAGAGCCGCATGCGGCTCTCACGTCGCGATTTGCAGACCACTGGTCTATCCAAAAGACTTATCTGACAACTCGCCACTCTTACCACAGTAAAAAGTTTTTGCCGAATTCCTCCATTTTCGAATCTTTTTCTCTTAGCGTCGTCCCAACTATACTCTTCCAAGATTTCTGGAGGTCAGACTTTTGTCTAAAATAACATTAAGAATATTTGATTCAAGCCGTAAACGTTATTACGATTAGCAGAGAGAGAGAGAGAGAGGGAGAGAGAGAGAGAGAGAGACAGAGAGACAGAGGGAGAGAGAGAGAAAAAGAGGGAGAGAGAGAGAGAGAGTCAAATTGTACATGAATATCAAACTTTTATATCGCATAAATCCATTTTTATTTCAGTTAATTTAATCATAATAAACCCATGTTCTCATGGATGTCCTCTTAAACCCATGTTCTAATGGTTGTCATCTTAAACCCATGTTCTAATGGTTGTCATATTAAACCCATGTTCTAATGGTTGTCATCTTAAACCAATGTTCTAATGGATGTCATCTTAAACCCATGTTCTATTGGATGTCATCTTAAACCCATGTTCTAATGGTTGTCATCTTAAACCCATGTTCGAATGGTTGTCATCTTAAACCCATGTTCGAATGGTTGTCATCTTAAACCCATGTTCTAATGGTTGTCATCTTAAACCCATGTTCTAATGGATGTCATCTTAAACCCATGTTCTAATGGTTGTCATCTTAAACCCATGTTCTAATAGATGTCATCTTAAACCCATGTTCTAATGGTTGTCATCTTAAACCCATGTTCTAATGGTTGTCATCTTAAACCCATGTTCTAATGGTTGTCACTTTAAACCCATGTTCTAATGGTTGTCATCTTAAACCCATGTTCTAATGACCAGTTCTATCGCAATAAGTCAATGCTATCATTGACCGCCCAGACAGAACATACTCAAGGCGTACTTGTACCACCTGACCATGACATACTTGTACCATCAACCATGACATACATTTACCATCCGACCGTGTCATACTTTTACCATCCGACCGTGACATACTTTTACCATCTAACCGTGACATACTGTTACCTTCTAACCATGACATACTTTTACCATCTGAACCTGACATACTTTTACCATCTGACCCTGCCATACTTTTACCATCTGATCGGGAGATACTTTTACCATTGACCGGGACATACTTTTACCATCTGACCGTGACATATTATTACCATCTGACCATCACACACTTTTGTCAATGGACAGTGACCTACTAGTACCATCTGACCATGACACACTTTTACCATCTGACCCTGACTTACTATTATCAGCTGACCATGACCCACTTAACCATCTTACGATGACTTACTTTTAGCATTTGACCATGACTTACTTGTCCGTCATCCCAGTGAACTGGCAGAATCTGTCCCCATAGGCCTCTGACTCATTTATTTCTGTCATTTCACAATCTTCTTTTACATATAATTTCACAATCCACTTTGATAGATACGATCACGATCCTCTTTGCCAGAAACTATCAAACTCCACTTGGTCAGACACGGCGATAAGTTCAATCTACACCGAAGATAAAGTTATTACAATATGTTTTGTTCAAAATTTTAACTACTCGTGTTTGTCAAGAACAGTGGACAATCATAATGGACCCTACCAGGCCAGTGCTTGCCAAGAAACAGTGCACAATCCTAATGGACCCGACCAGGCCAGTGCTTGCCAAGAAACAGTGGACAATCCTAATGGACCCTACCAGACCAGTGCTTGCCAAGAAACAGTGGAAATCTTAATAGATCATACCAGGCCAGTGCTTGCCAAGAAACAGTGGAAATCTTAATAGATCATACCAGGCCAGTTCATGCCAAAACAATGGAAAATCCTAGTAGACCCTACCAGGCCAGTGCTTGCCAAGAAACAGTGGACAATCCGAATGGACCCTACCAGGCCAGTGCTTGCCAAGAAACAGTGGAAATCTTAATAGATCATACCAGGCCAGTTCATGCCAAAACAATGGAAAATCCTAGTAGACCCTACCAGCCCAGTGCTTGCCAAGAAACAGTGGACAATCCTAATGGACACTTAAATTGGGGGCGGTGGGTGGGGGGGTGGGGGTTGGGCGCTTGGAAAATACATATTAAAAACGATTGCAATAAAATCAAACTAATTCATTGCAGCAATAAAATCAAACTAATTCATTGCAGCAATAAAATCAAACTAATTCATTGCAGCAATAAAATCAAACTAATTCATTGCAGCAATAAAATCAAACTAATTCATTGCAGCAATAAAATCAAACTAATTCATTGCAGCAATAAAATCAAACTAATTCATTGCAGCAATAAAATCAAACTAATTCATTGCAGCAATAAAATCAAACTAATTCATTGCAGCAATAAAATCAAACTAATTCATTGCAGCAATAAAATCAAACTAATTCATTGCAGCAATAAAATCAAACTAATTCATTGCAGCAATACAAATCAAACTAATTCATTGCAGCAATCAAATCAAACTAATTCATTGCAGCAATACAAATTTGGTCATTGCCGTAGACGACCATCATACGTTTAAAATCCTTTATGTTAACTTCGCTTCGGTTCGTGGCTGTCTGGCTTGTGAGACTAGAGAAGTGTGTATGTGTGTGTGTGTGGGGGGGGGGCACTAATTGGGATTATTTTTAAGTGAAATACTCTTATGTATGATTTGCCAAATTTTTTAGCGGCCCCCCCCCCCAACCCAATTGCTCGATTATTAAATTTTATATAGACTTGATAAGAAAAGTTTTGTTTTGAGGGGTTGTTTAATCTTTGCGCGTTAATGAAAGCGTTGACAGTTATTGACAATTCATACTTCCAGTATTAGCGCTCTACACATAGACATGAAGCGTCAACACAGAACTTGTCGGCCACACTTCCGGAAGAATCCCATGGGTCATGTCTTTGGCACGGCTCTCAAGAGCAAAGTTAACCCGTTGCTCTGAGCCGTATGGTCTGACCCATGGAGAGTTCAACTGACTTTATAGGTCAGGAGAATAGTACTTTACATGTCAGTAGTATGTAGAGTGATATGCTGGGTTTAACCACCTAGGACAGGCTGGGTCTAACAGGGTGAGTTTAACCAACAATATCAGGCAAAGTTGAGCCAACAACGAAATTCTAGATTTAACCAACAATGACAGGAAAGGTTTAACCCACAACGACAGGCTAGGTTTAACCCACAATGACAAGATAGGTCTAACCCACTATGACAGGACAGGTTTAACCAGCAATCACAGGCTATGTTTAATCCACAATTATTTGACTCTTGTCTCATGTGCATGACTCTTGTCACATGACTCCATCTCTGTTGAATGCCCCTGACTCCATCTCTGTTGAATGCCCCTGACTCCATCTCTGTTGAATGCCCCTGACTCCATCTCTGTTGAACGCCCCTGACTCCATCTCTGTTGAATGCCCCTGACTCCATCTCTGTTGAACGCCCCTGACTCCATCTCTGTTGAATGCCCCTGACTCCATCTCTGTTGAATGCCCCTAACCCGATTGGGCAACACATTAATATATTCTAATTTAAAAGCGATATCTTAAAAAATTTCTTTTGACAAAACGCCACCTCAATCAAGTAATTGATCATTGACATGTATCACGAAAGGGCAGGTGTGCAAGGGTGGAGACGCTGGAGGACAGGGGCGGTATTTCAGATTTGTTTTCAATGGGTGGGGGGGGGACAAAATAATAATAATAATAATGATAATTAGTGGTTTTATATAGCGCAGTACCCCAGCCTAGCGCTGAGCTCAACGCGCTGTACATAAAAATATTATCAAAAGAGACATGATCGTGACATTAAAATAAAATACAGACATGAAATAAAGAACAGCGTGTAACCAAAAAACAAATACAAATGTGTATTCAACCACCCACCCCCAGAGCTTTTACAAGGCGGCAAACCATTGACGGCAGCCAGCGATCGTATGTTTTAGAGCGTGTCTTGGGAACGGACAGAATTCGCGTGTCTGCAGAGGAGCGAAGCTGTCGAAGGGGTTAATAGACAGAAAGAAGTTCGGTTAGATAGGAAGGGCAGGAATCCGAGAAAAAAGTTGTGACAGAGAACAGACAGCTTGTAGTCAATGCGTGCCTGTATAGGGAGCCAATGAAGTGAGTGGAGTAGTGGAGTGACGTGATCACTTTTTTTTTTTTGCCTTTAATAGTAGCCAAGCCTAATCAAAACTTGGTCGGAGTGTTAAGTTGTTTATTACTGGAGGCGCCCCAGTACATAAAATTTAAACAATTTAAATAAAACCTGCTAATTTGGAGGGGGGTGTGGCTCAAATTCCCCACACTGCCCTAAACAAATGACACCCCTGCTGGAGGACCAGAGGGGCCACTTGGGCTTCGTGTTATTCTACGAACTATCTCCTTGTTACAAGTTGCACACCAGCCGAAACGTCACTGTCTAGACCAGACGTCTTGTCTAACTCTTGACGGCACGAGTTCAAATGCCTTAACAAGTCAACTTACTTAAATGACAACTAAAGCTAATGCAACATTTGGACGGTTAGATTTTACCCAGTGTTGATATGATGACAGTTGTCTCTCACGGATAGGAAATAAAGATGTATGTCATTTGCTTCCCAGCGTATAGCCTGTTGTTGCTATATCGTCATTTTTGGCGAGACAATTTGTGAGTGTGTATGGCAATGGTGCTGTGTCGTGCCTTGCGCAGGAAGGAACGCTAGAAATGTATGCAGCCCTAAGTGAATTTTGTGAAACATGCCATGAAACATGAATTTTGTGAAACATGAAACAGACAGGGGGGGGGGAGAAAAAGAGAGATACAGGGTGAGAGAGACAGAGTGAGAGAAAGAGAGAGACAGCTTGACGGAAAGAGGGAGAAAGACAGACAGACAAACAGACAGACAGGGAGAGAAAAAGAGAGATACAGAGAGAGAGACAGAGTGAGAGACAGAGATAGAGAGAGTGACAGAGAGACAGAGAGACAGAGAGAGAGAGAGAGACAGAGAGACAGAGAGAGAGAGAGAGAGAGCGAGAGAGAGAGAGTACATACAAAGTTAAGAATGTTTCGAATTTAAAAAAATAATACAAAAAGAATTTTTAAAAAAACCAAAAAAAACAACAACAAAAAAACCGATCAATGCTCTGCAGACAAAATATTCATCCTCTTAAATGTAAAGTAATAAAAAAAATAAAAATAAATAAAAATAAAACAGATTTCGATATTATGGGTCCTAAACATGCTTTTGGCGACATGGCTTTACTTAAACGAAAAATGTTGTTAAAGTAGCCAATATGTATGTGACAAGTTTACAGACGATACCCTAAAACAGTGGTTCTTAACCATTTTTGGAGGTACCGAGCCCCACCAGTTTCATATGCGCATTCACCGAACCCTTCTTAAAAGTCTAGTAAAAATAAAATATGATATTTTTTTCTGATTTATTTTGGGACCTCCGCCGAACCCTTGAGACAGACTCACCGAACCCTGGGGTTCGATCGAACCCAGGTTAAGAATCACTGCCCTACAACAACTAGGTTTAGCGACCCACAAAGCGTCACCGTTGTTTTAAAGCTATTCACTGGGCCTGACTACCTTTCTTGTCTTGTAGCTGCAGTCCACCCCCCCCCCCCCCCCCCACACACTTTTTTTTCCTCCAGACACCTTTAGTTAACCATACCTGGACACAATCCAGGTTAAGAATCACTGCCCCACAACACCTAGGTTTAGCGCCCCACAAAGCTTCACCGTTTTTTTAAAGCTATTCACTGGGCCTGACTCCCTTTCTTGTCTTGTAGCTGCAGTCCACCCCCCTCCCCCCCCCCCACACACTTTTTTTTCCTCCAGACACCTTTAGTTAACCATACCTGGACACAACCCCTTGAGGAATCAGGCCCAGAACTACTGGTAGCGAGGCAGTTAAAGATCCATTCATCATTGTTTCTATGGGGCCTTAAAATCTAACGGATTATATTTCTGTTTTATACGATGTAAGTTAGTCTCAAAACAAGAACACGTATCGCACGCCAGTATACCAAAGTTGTAACACGGACCCAGTGTAACATCATCATCACCATCACCATCATCATCATCACCATCACCATCATCATCATCATCATCATCATCATCATCATCATCATCATCATCATCACCATCATCAACACCAACGGTGTGACGTGGCTACATGAATTATTTTAAGCCAAATGACAGAAATAAGGATACATCAGTTTGGGAACCATTGGATTTTTGGGGTGGATTCCAAGAAAGACACAACAATCCTTAGTTAGTAACAAACTGCAAATGAAAATTGTTGAGTTTTAATTTTGGTTTTACTCGTGTTCAAGTTAATCAGTAGGCAATGAGACAACTTGAACACATACAACTAAAACAGAAACATACCAACCATAGAACAACCACATAGAAGACACACACTGACCACCCAACTGACGTACAGCAAACACACAACGGACAAACAGCAGACACAAAACGGACATATAAAGTACACACATCAGACACACGTCGGACATACAGCAGAAACAGTGCAGGTGCACAAAGAACATGTTACAGACACAACCGTCTCTCAGCAGACACACATTGGACACAGAGCCACTACACAGAGGACTACAGCAGACACACAGCAGACACACAGCAGACACACAGCAGACACAGAGCCACTACACAGAGGACTACAGCAGACACACGTAGACACAAAGCGGGCACACAGCGGACACACAGTGGACACATTGTGAACAGACTGCGGACACCTAGCAGACACAACAGACACACAGCAGACACACAGCAAGACACTCTGCGACCGCCTCCCATACCATTATCAATAAAATAAGTCTTGACATCTTCTGTATTTGGTCTACTCCTGATGTTATTTGAAAGAGGAGCTGTGATTGGTTAGCTGCTCTTGCGGCAGGACATTTCTTGAAATATTCCTTCACAAAAATATGACAATTTAATATTCTGCCTTCTTTGATAAAAAACAACAAAACCTCCAGTTTTCAGTGTCTGTCACCTTGCATCAAGTTACAGAATATGACAACATTTTTGGTCCTTCTTTGGCGCTCTCACCATCTCCTCGGACACAGCTTTGCGTAACAAGCCGATGAATCTCACCCACAGACCGACGACCTCATCACTTCCGTCCACGTTTAGTTCTTTCACAATGAAACCACCAAATAAATTCTCAAGGTTCTGGAAAAAGATATTAAATGAAATCAGGGGACACTCTTTACGACACGACACAGAACAGTTCCACCCCTCTCACTTTTCCATTTTGTTTTTGGTTTCTGTTTTGTGTGTTGCTGGCGACTTATGCCCACACGTTTTCATTTCCTTTCCTTTGACTTATTTAAGGGGTTGGGGCTTGGGATGTGTAAAAAAAAAAAGGTATGCAGTATTTGTAGTTTGTTGAACTCATAAACGCGTGTGCCGAAACGATTAACTTTGTTGCATGTGTCGTCTAAATTAAATGAAAAAAAAAACCCCACTCTTTTACTGGACACACAAAATTGTTTGCGTCTTAACTTAATCTTAACCAGCGGCCCTTTGTAATTCTTGCAGTGATGAGCCGTTCATTCAGTTGTTGGTGGTTAAATTTGCATTACAATCTGATAGCACATCGCGGAGGCAAATTGTCTTAGCACATTGCCGCGGCACATTGCTGTAGCACATTGCCGCAGCACATTGCTGCAGCACATTGCCGCATCACATTGCTGTAGCACATTGCTGTAGCACATTGCCGTAGCACATTGCCGTAGCACATTGCTGTAGCACATTGCTGTAGCACATTGCTGTAGCACATTGCCGTAGCACATTGCCGTAGCACATTGCCGTAGCACATTGCTGTAGCACATTGCCGTAGCACATTGCCGTAGCACATTGCTGTAGCACATTGCCGTAGCACATTGCCGTAGCACATTGCTGTAGCACATTGCCGTAGCACATTGCCGTAGCACATTGCCGTAGCACATTGCCGTAGCACATTGCTGTAGCACGTTGTTGTAGCACATTGCCGTGGCACATCGCGTTGGCACACCGCTGGAGCCCATCGCCACAGCACGTGGCTTTAGGCGCCATGTTGGTTGTCAAAGCGGACATCCATGACGGGTTGAAATCACCTGAAAGTACACTTCTCCCACGCTCGGGTTGAGGCGGACGTGAGTTCTGGCAAAGCCGCGCAAGCTCTCCGCCAGCTTGTCCGGTCGGTTAAGTTGTCGGATGAACTTGTCGATGGAAAGCGCCACGACCAAGGAGTGCGCCAGCATCGCTTCGTTGTCGACGAGCTCTCCATAGGACAGCAGTGTGTGGATCTTAAAGGAGAACCTGCTGCGCATGTCCGGGACATTTTCAAACATCCTGTTGAAATACACAAACATTTAATTCGGATGAAGTCTTTCTGTAAACATCTTACATGGTGTTAACATTGGCTTCTAAATAGGTTAGCGTTAGATGTAGACTTTGTTATAAAATAAATAGCTGACGTCAAACATCCCACAATAAGAAAAATAAACAACAACATCAACAATAACAAAAAATTGGTGTTATAGTTTCAAGATAACAATGTGCTCGTATGTGTGTGTGTGTGTCTCCGCTTAAATATTAATCCTTGTTACCTTTTAGGGAAGTGGGGAGGGGGTGAGGGAGGAGGGTGGAAGGGGAGGGGGGCGTGAGGAGGGGTGAGTGGGGAGGGGAGGGGGAGGGATACGTTTAATGTGTTCCACGAAATGTTGGAAGGTGTTGGAGACGCCAAGACATCAATTATAATTCTCAGAAACTACGAGCCAGAGACAAAAGTTAAAAACGGGTCAGCTGCCATCTAATGAATCTGGTATCTATTTAAAGAGTTATTTGGACCAGTACAAATAATCGTAGTTCTAAAACTATTTCAAGAGAAACACATGTTGCGTGGGTCACGATGTGTGGGACACGTTGTGTGTGGGACAAGTTGTGTGTGGGACACGTTGTGTGTGGGTCACGATGTGTGGGACACGTTGTGTCTGGGGAACGTTTTGTGTGGGACACGTTGTGTGTGGGACACGTTGTGTGTTGGTCACGATGTGTAGGACACGTTGTGTGTGGGAAACGTTGAGTGAGGGCACGTTGTGTAGGACATACAACATACACAAAATATTACACAGAGAACGGTCTATCACACAGGGAACTTACAGCAACTATCACACAGGGAACATACACCAACTATCATAAATGGGGCATTATATACAGACAACATACACATACAGGGAACATACACATACTCTCATACAGGGTATATACACGTAATATCATACAGAGGCGTAGCGAGGGGGGCAGGGGGGACATATGTCTCCGGGCCCCAGCTAGTTAGGGGCGCCAATATGTGCTTTGATATTATTTTATTCATTAAAATAATGGGTTTGAGTGTTGAAAAAAAGAAAGAGGGGTGCTTTAAAATGGATCTAGTCCCCGGGCGCGAATCTTGTCCACGGGCGCCAAACACCCTCGCTACGCCTCTGATATCATATTAGGAACATTCTTGTATCATCAAACAAGGGAAATACATATCTTATCATACAGGGAACATACATGTATATCGTACAGGTAACATACACATTCTGTCACGCACGGAACATACATGCGTCATCATACAGGGAAAGTACACGTATATCTATCATACTGGGAA